CACACAGGCCCACTTCTAATGACTCTTGACCCTATACCTACGATTTTCCCGGAATTTGTAATTTGCCATTGCAAAACTTCTTGCAATACCAAGAACTGCAGTTGTAGGAAGGGAAATGTAAAATGCTTAAGGCTGTGTACTCCATGTAAAAGTGTCTGCCTAAATTCGGCCTGAATATATTTTTTTTTGTAATTAACAATAAAGATTAGCTCAAACGTTTTTTTGTTAGCATATTTTTGATTTCCTCATGTTTAAAAACATATTTTTGTAGGCATGCCGGTTAAAATTCATGTTTTTTTTTAATTTCGACATAAAAAGTTTTCCAAATAAATTTTACTGTACATTTTTGAATTAGTCATGTTCGAAAATATGTATTTAGACACCTCAGTCGCTTTTCTATGTCAATGGGAACTCTAAAAATATCGAATTTCAAAAAAATCCGCCATGTTAGCCGCCATCTTGAATATCTTACTTCTGGTTCAGATTTCGCTCTAGCAACAGGCAGAATCGGATTCAGCGGGGTCGAATTAGGGGGAAAAGGGTAGTTTCCAAAAAGTAATATGAAATGCTTCTCAAAGTTAAAATTTCCGAAAAAGGGACTAGACTAAGAGGTTTACCCATCGATTAACCTATAGTATTATAAAACGTATTTAACAACGCCACTAACAAAGCATAAGATCGCAGAATTTGCAATCTATGCTATTATAACAGATAAAGATTTAAATAGGACATCATCAAAAATTAATTCACCTTTAAGTTAGATTTATAAACTCAGCAGTTGAAGTTCAGTTGACGTAGCAAATGTTCAACACCATGAAATGAAAGCGCGAATTTATAGTCAGTTCGTTTTACGTTCACGGAGTTCAGAGATGGGCAATGTCTTTACATACCGAACTTGCTTTGCATGATGGATCGTGTTCAAATCACATCATCGGTTGAACAATAAAAAATAATAAAATAAAATAAAATATTACAGGATGACGGCAAAAATATTACAAATATTACAGGATGACGGCAAAACACATATGGTAATGGTAATGGTAATTAAATAAATAAATCATATAGAAATATAAGGTCTCTGGTTCCTCGGGAAATATAACTTTCACCATAATTTCTGTACGCACACAAAACAAACAATGCTACACAAAAATATGCTACACAAAATAATAACAAATTTTCAAAATTCAAATCAAAATTGCAAATTACAAATAATTTGCTGTCATGTCACTTGTCAATCTTGTCATGACATGTGACAGGTAGCAGGTGGCGACGCTTTGGAGCCCTAACTGAACTATGCAACATTATGGCTAAGTTAGACAACCTTTCAAACTCTCTTATGGTCCATGGATACATGAATACGGGGAGGCTATCCGCCCAGACTATCCACGTGACTTGGCTGGTGCGCACCGGCCAGTCGGCGAGTGCCACCGGGTTTGCAGTTGCAGTTTGATGTGGTCACGGCATTATGAAGCAGAGCAATCCTATTAGTTTACCATTCTTGGAACTACTCATTAATTATTAAACATAATTTTATGTTATAATTATATTTATTACATATTTTATGTACAATCAACAAGATTGGGTTTTTTATATTGTCTATAAAGTATATAATTTAAAATATTAAGATATGTAATTTTTTTCCCGCAATTGAAAAATAATTATACCTACATGGTGTTTCAAAAAACATGTGCCATTTCTCGCGAGGAGATTCCTAACGTAAAAATAAGGTTTATTTTTAACATAGGTCCGATTCTGCTTTGTTTCGTATTTACAGGGTGTTAAAGTCTAGTATTTTTTCGATTTGTTATAATTTTCTTCCATGTAATTTTAGTGTTTCGAATTAAATTTTGAGGGTAAAAGTTACTATAAATTTGACATATTTTAAAGCTAAAAAAGTGTGAAAAAAGTTCCTGTAAACATGACATGGAAATGCATAGTTTTAGAGTTAGGGTGTTAAAACTTTTTAAAATTTGGTTTATTGTAATTATCTTAAATACCAATTTTTTTTTATTTAAAATTGCTGTAGGTTGGACTAATAGCAAATAGCAATAATAACTAATAGTTATAATATTTGATAATAAATTTGGTAAAATATATAATTTGTTAATTTAATTTTAATTTCATATATTAATTGTGATTAATAAAATTTTGTTTATCACATCAAGCAGGCCGGATTCTACAAAATATCAAGAGATAACTTTTAATTGTCATTAAACAAAGTCAGTGGCGGACATGTTTTTTTTTGAAAAATATTCCAATGATAACCCATATGCACGTCCCTGATGAATTTATCGACACTTTTTTAGCATTAAAATATGTAGCACTTATACCCTATAACTTTTACCTTCAAAATTTCATTCGAATAACTAAAGGTGTCAGGAAGAAAATTATAATAAATCGAAAAATTACTAATAATTTAACGCCCCGTAGCTACAAAACAAAGGAAAATCGGCCCTATGTTGATATGAAAAATAAATCTTATTTTTACGTGAGGAATTTCCTCATGAGAGATGGTACATGTTTTAGAAACCCTGCATACAAGCATATGGTAATTAAATAAATATACTTGTCTTCGTAAAGATCAGATCATTAAGAATTTTTTGGAGAATTTAATAGCTTTGTTTGAAGATGGCAAATAGCAACATATGGTTTTACTGTTGTTACCTATAACATATACAGGGTGAGTCTTAAATCAGTTCAAATATTTTTGGGGGTAGTATATTTCGACCCCAGAAACCCGTGTGATTTATTTTTGCGAAAAAAGAATTTGAGATTTTTTGAAAACATTTTTGGATATGTTATTTAGTTTTTAGTTAAAAAACATAATTTGATTTGGCAACATAGGTAGCAGATTAAGTTTACAAGAAAGGAAACCCAGAAAAGATCCAGTCGTTTTCAAAATTTAGGGAAAAAATATATATTTTTTAATTTTCAAAATAAAAATATCTCGGTTATTTTGGATTTGGTAAAGCAGTAAAGGGAGAATGTGTTTCTTTTACTGAGATCTATAAGCGCTGAAAATATTTGCACTTATTTAAGTCTCACCCTGTATATTGGTTTAAATATCGTGAAAAAACCGGGATAGAAAATACATCATATTTAACATTAAAAATAAAACTATTTGCTATTCTAATAAGGAATACATGATTATAAATAGAACTGAAAATGTAAGTTAGACAGGGGCGTAGTACACTAATGTTTAGTACAAAAGAATTATGTTTTTATGCAAAATATTCCAATTAACGAATTAACTTATTGACTATAGTGCCTTTGGCACAGGGCACAGGGCCGGCGCACTGTGGTCCCGCAGACTCGAAAAACGCGATAAAACGATTTTTTTGTAATTAGTCGAGACAAGCCGAAAATATAATAGAACGATTATTAAATATTCCGTTTACTGCAAAATGACAAATAAATAGATTCGTCACATATTTGAGGCGAGATGCGTTGACAAATTTATATTTTATTACTTTTAAATATTCTGATATAATTCATACCTCATTTTTAGAATGCTAGCATAATTTAAAACCTAAAGTAAACAGACAGACGATGATAGGAGACGGCAGGTGGAACTTTTAGGAAGATCTGAGTGTAAGAAAAAATTGTAACGCATCGTTTGTAATTTGTTGGTAGTACCGACGGAGATTTATGTATATTTTTTTCATGTGTAGATACAAATTTAGACCTACACAATTTTCATCTCTAATACATCTCATTAAATAGCCTCAAGTATCCACTAGTGAGAAATAAAACAATTAGCTGCGCATATTTGCGCCTAAGAGATTCCAGTGGCGTCACTAGTTTTTCGTTGAGAGCTATCATCTATCATTTTAGAAATATGACTAGCTTACTTTATTATTTCGATTTTTTTCAAAAAATTTTCTTCTCTTAATACGTGAATATTTGGATGAAAATTGGCATCTAGGAGTTTTTGACGCGAAAAATTCCATTTTGAAATCAATATGACTCCTACTTGTAGAGGGCGCCACCAACCATATGTTTTAACTGGTTTGGAGACTAATAACTTTTCGTCCGTACCTGTATAAAACTACTGAGTAAAAAATATACATTTACGACGTTTTTATGTAAACAAGTGTCTTGGTAAAAATCGCTACGAGTAATGGTTCTGGAGATATATTGAATCTAAATGATCAATACCCCCCCCTGTCATCATTTTCATAAACTAATCATGCGTACTAAATAGTTATTAGAATTTGAAATATTTTTGTGTCAAAAGTTCATCAGGAACTGTTCTCTGAATCATCATTTTTTTGAAGAAAATTTTATGATTAATACAATAAAATAAAAAGTTTCCAAATTTATCATTATACAGGTACGGATGAAAAGTTATTACTTTTCAAAGCAGTTAAAAAATTTGTAGGTGTCGTAGATATTTTTATCAAGAGAAGTAACGTAAAAAACGTCGTAAATGTATATTTTTTTCACTCAGTAGTTTTATACAGGTACGGAAGAAAAGTTATTACTTTTCAAAACAGTTAAAAAATTTGTAGGTAGCGCCCTCTACAAGTAGGGGTCATATTGACATCAAAATCAATTTTATTGTGTCAAAAAACTCCCAGACATCAATTTTCATCCAAATGTTGACGTTACTTCAGAAATTATTTGGAAAAAATCGAAATAAAAATGAAACTTCTACCACCCTATGTCTCCGAAACTAAGCATTTTAGGACCTATTTATAAGAACTTTTTTACTTATTTTTATCTGCAGAATATGTTGCCGAAGTTTCCGGAATACAGTTCGGACCACCCTGTATAGCACTGATATTAAACTGCATCAAATCAAAATAAACTTTATAATCTATTTTTTTTTATAAAAATAGTACGCCTGTGTTGAAAATCATGCATTATTATGTATCGTAATCGTTGTTTGCGTTGTTTTCTCTTATAATTAACTGGTATTACTTAAAACATATAATTATGGCTGCCTTTATAGTGGGAAAAACGCTATTCACAGGTAGGTATATAAAACCAACTCGAAAAGTACAAAAATTTTTTATAAGTTTTGAAAATGGGTGATACGAAATCAGACGTGCATACTTGGATAAGTGATTTTTTAGAACAACGAAACATCTTTCAATATAAAGTAGACGTAGCCGGAAAAGCTAACAAAGGAGATGGCTATTTAGGGGAAGTAACTTTCGTCAAAATATCTACGTTTACAGATAGAATATATCACTTAGCGATAAAATCAGCTATGCAAAGTGTACAACTCAGAAAACAGGCACCTATCGAAGAGATATTTCAAAGAGAAATGTATGTATATACTGTCATTATGCCTGCTTTTGCACAATTCCAAAAGGAAAAGGAGGTAGAATATATTTTTGATAATTTTCCAAGATGTTATGGAATCTACAACAAAGACAGAAAAGAAGCTATACTATTACAAAATATGAAATCCCTCAAATACGATATCCATGACAGAAAAACACCTCAAAATCTCGATCACGTATTTTTTGTTTTCAAAAACTATGCCCGATATCACGCTCTATCCATTGCAATGAAACGTCAACAACCTGAAGTGTTCCAAAATCTGACCAAGAACATGACGGATATTCTTTCGTACTTTGTGACTAAAGCTGGCATGGTTCCTGGAATATGCAACGACTTCGAATTGGCTCGTGAGCTTCTTAAAGAGGTCGATCCAGTAGCATTTAGAAAGCTGGACTTTAATAAGAATGATATCGAGAGGGCTCTATGCAAAGCTAGTGATTTGCCTGATGGGTTGTCTGTGATACTTCATGGTGATTGTTGGAATAATAACATGATGTTTGCTTATGAGGTAAGTTTATTGTTTTGTTGCACTCCAAGTTAAAATTTAATCTCTTGATTAACCATAAGTTTTACCGGGTGATATAAAATGTATTCTACTAAGTGTAAATTTTCATTTTCAGAACGAAGACAAATCCCTACCCTCCAACATAGCGTTCATCGATTTTCAGTTGAGCAGCATGGGATCTCCTATATGTGATTTATCCTTCTACCTCTACACTGTGGCAGACGAATCCGTACTACAGTATTTTGACGTGATTTTAGAATCCTACCATTGCCACCTCACAAATTTTCTTTTGGAAATGGGCGAAACAAACGCAGGCGTTACATTGCAAGACTTAAGACGCCACTGGTTTCTGTATGGCAAATTCGGCATAGCCATTGCTCCCTTTATTCTGAAGATCGAGTTATCTGACTCAGATGAAGTGACAGATTTAGTGCAAGGTGCCGAAAGTGGAAATATTGGAGATGCCTTTAAGGTGGAGTTAAAAAATAAGGACGTGTATAACTATAGAGTTAAAAGTGTCTTAACACACTATGCATCGTTCATTGACAAATAAACACATACATCTTTTGAGTAAACCTATCTTGAATTTTAGATATTATTTATTAATTATAACTTTAAATTCACTCATACTAGAACAATTCCATGTAATTATTTAACTTTATAAAGGCATCAAAACTTGTATACATATAAACTTTTATTAAAAATGTAATTTAAATTAAAATGATATTAAAATAGCTAAAGTGAGTATTATTTTTATGTAAAGTCTGTTCAACGAGTCAGGGAAGATTTCGCCAGATGACATCCAAAAAATAATGGAAAATACAATTTATCGGTTTAAATATCTCAAAAACCAAAGTTTTTATACATATTTAACCCTTATAATAAATGCCTTTTTTTAGGTCCAAATATCCAAATATGAAATAAAATACAGGTTTGAAAAATTAATAACCAACCAATCTCAACGGGAATATATAGATAATATGATCTCCTATTTAACCACTCAAAAGTCGCATTCGGTCCCAGTAGGGGCAGTTTGAAAAAAACCGCGGCCATCTTGGATTTTTTCGTTTTTTTACTCCGTTTGCATAACTTTTTTCGAAAAAAACTAAAGATATATTTTTTGTAGAGAATTAAATTTTGAATATTTTACCTTCAATTATTTTTTTTCTAAAATAAATAAAATAGAGATAGAGATAGAGCAATTTTTTACTATACGGTTTATAAATTTTCCAGTTTTTTTAAACCAATTAGCTATAATTTTTGCGTTAACAGTATAGTGTTAATATAGATAAATCAAGTATAAATTTGAGCATTAAAACAATTAAAAATAACGTTCAAATATTATTTACTAAATAAAATTATTGTTAAAAAATTATTATTAAATTAAATTTATTAAATAAAATCTGCTATGACGTCATCCTGAGTGCCATTTTAGCCACAACTAAAATACAAAAGTTTGTGCAACTGATTCCGTAGCACTGACCACACTTTGAAGAACATGCAAAACCAGTTTTCTACAAGAGCAATTTTTAGAGCACTGACTCTTCAAGAATGAATTTTAGTAGGTCAGGAAGCGCCACATCTTCTGTTGATTGAATAGGCGTCAGATTGCCTTTTTGATCTTTCTTCCATCCATATTGTAAAGGATCTAACTTGTTACCAATCCATTCTTGAATCTAAAACATACAACTTATAACATTTCCTATAATAAATATATCTTTACAGTTACCTGAAAGTATGTCATTCTGAGTAAATGGAGTTTTGCAGAGTTCTCAGTTGGAGGTAAATTAGCTAAATTAAAGGTAGTCTTATGGGATTCTCAAATGGTTCATATGTTTAATATAGCTTGGGCAGTGATATAGCTTTAAAAGATAATTTAATCCTGATTTAGTCAAAAATGTGTCGGTACTGCAAAATATGACGATCTTTGTCAATACCTCGACGTATTTTTAGAAAAAAAAACCCTAACAAAGATCACTTGTTTCAGTCAGGATTAAATTATCTTTTAAAGCTATATCACTACCCAAGCTATATTAAACATATTAACCATCTGAGATACATTCTATACAATAGGATTACATCAAGACAAGCCCTTAAGACTACCTGTAATTTAGTTAATTTGCTTCCAACTGAAAACTCTTTAGATTCAAGAATGGATTGGTAACGAGTTAAATTCTTTACAATATAGATGGAAGAAAGACCAAAAAGGCAATCTGACACCTATTCAATCAACAGAAGATGTGGCGCCTCCTGACCTACTAAAATTAATATTCTGCAATTGCAAAGAGAGTCAGTGCTCTAAAAATTTCTCTTGTAGAAAACTGGCTTTTAAATTTTTCAAATGTTCACTTCAAAGTGTGGTCAATGCTACGGAATCAGTTGCACAAACTTTTGTATTTTAGTTGGGGACGAAATTTACGCTCAGGATGACGTCATAGTAGATTTTATTTAATAACTTTAATTTAATAATAATTTTAAAACGTTATTTTTAATTGTTTTAATGCTTAAATTTATACTTGTGGTTTATCTATACTAACACTATACTGTTAACGCAAAAATTATAGTTGATAGTGAAAAAGCGTAAGTGAAAATTTATGAAACGTATAGTAAAAAATTGCTCTATCTCTATTACTATTTATTTTAGAAAAAAAATGATTGAATGTAAAATATTCTAAATTCAATTTTCTACAAAAGACATGTCTTTAGTTTTTTCGAAAAGTTATGCAAACGGAGTAAAAAAAACGAAAAAATCCAAGTTGGCCGCGGTTTTTTTCAAACTCCCCCACTGGGACCGAATGGGACTTTTGAGGGGTTAAATAGGAGATCATTATCTACACATTCCCGTTGAGATCGGTTGTTTACTAATTTTTTCTACCTCAACCTCCAGATTGACTGGCCTGTTTTACATATAGCCGCGGTAAAAGTATGCCTATTTAATATATGTATAACAAATATAGAGTTATTTCAATTTTCAATTTATAGCAGTATAACTTTTTTTGTAAATCTTAACAAATCTAAAACAAGTAATGGTTTTTTAAACACTTGTTTTTAAACAAAATGTTTAGATTAGAACATATGAACGCTGCCCAGAATCCCGTTTAATTAACTTTTTGAAAACTTTTAGCGATTCAAATGACATTTTGAGGGTAAAAGTTAGTTACTAAAAGATAAATGCGACATATTTTATGCGAAAAAAGTGTCGACATATTCACCAGGGACGTGCATATAGGTTATCACTGGAATTGTTTCGATTTTTAAAATACTAAACATAGGCTTGAATTTAAAATAACAAAGATTTGAGCAATTTTTTAATGGAAATAAATATAAATTTTGTTCTCCCTGTAGAATATCCATTCGGTTGATTTAGACAGATTGATTATATCGACTTTCGTTAACTTATAACCCAAATTTCAGCTTTCAATATACCGAATTTATGATTTAACCAATGCTTATTCTATATTCAATTTTACGCATGTTTTATTTTTTATCTCAAAAACTTTTAGATATTGGTATAGGTTAGTATAATAGAAAAACCTTGAGATATGGGAGTAGTTTTGAAAAATATAATAATATACCGTGTGTCCATTTAAAATTACAAAGAGCACTTTTAGTACGAAGTGGCAACACTGTAATGCGGAAAATAAATTAGACAGATGGAGCAGGTGCCTTTATGCAAAAATCCAAATTTTCAAAAATCCTATTACCAGTTTTCCATAAACGTCAAAGGTGCCATGGCTGTGAATCACCGTATATACGGGTGTTTAAAAAATATGCCATCTTTCGTGAGGATATTCCCCACGTAAAAATAAGATTTATTTTTCATATCAACATAGGTCCGATTCTGCCTTGTTTTGTAGCTACAGAGTGTTAAAATCTTATTATTTTTTCGATTTATTATAATTTTCTAAAGGTAAAAGTTACTATAAATACTACATATTTCAAAAGCTAAAAAATTCGACATATTCACCAGAGACGTGCATATAAGTTATCACTGGAATATTTTTCTAAAAAAGCATGGACGCCACTTTTTTTTTTGACTTTTTTTCTCTTGTTAGCGAAATAGTGTAAGCAGTTTAATGCCGATTAAAAGGATATTTTGTCGATTTCGGCCTCCTTGATGAGATAAAGCGAAAGTTTTAAATAAGTACTCATTGGTTTCTCATCAAAAAATATGAAAAAAGTTCCTATAAACATGGGTATGGAAATGCATAGTTTTGGAGTTACAGGATGTTAAAACTTTTGAAAATTAGTTTTTTTCTCATTATCTTAAATGCCATTATTTTTTATTTGAAATTGCTGTAGGTGGGACTAATAGTAATAATAACTAATAGTAAGTACTATCTGGGAACTGAACAAGCATTTAACATCAAAGAAACATTAAACAGAGAACGGGTTAAAGAAGAATTTTTCCGCAGATTAAATATTGTACTGAGAATCTGTCTGAAAGCCAAAAATTGTTTCGATGCAATCAATACCTGGGCAGCACCTGCACTCACGTTTACTTTTGGTATTCTGTCGTTGTCTACCACTGAGCTAAAACATCTGGATCAAAAAATCAGAACAATACTCACTAAATACAGGATGCACCATCCAAAATCTGCGTTGGAAAGGTTAGACTTACCAAGAAGCGATGGAGGAAGATCTCTTATAAATCTTGAACTTGCACACCTGCAGCAGAAAAAAAGCCTCATCAAATATTTTCATGCGAAACGCTCTACTACCATACAAGCCATCATCAAAGCAGACAAAAATCTGAGTGCACTAAATCTAGCGCAACAACTAGTAGAAACATACAAAGCAAAGAGACAACAACTAAAATCAGATTGGGCGCAAAAAGCACTCCATGGGAGGTTTGCTGCCAGTATTGAACAGCAGGATGTATGCAAGTCCATGTCAGTCACCTACCTGAAGCTCGGATACCTGTTCCATAAAAGAACATATAGAAAATACATACTAAAAGAAGACGTACCTTCAACAACATGTTGGTTAGGTTGCCCTGCTCAAGAAAGTATACAGCATATCATGTCAGGCTACACATCACTAGCATCTACCACATACCGTAGCAGACACGATAACATGGGGAAAACTTTACATCAAGCACTATGTCTTAAACACAAACTGCTACAAACCTACACACCGGACTACAAATACACACCTTTGGCACCTTTGGCAATACTACAAAATACCAGCTACAAAATTTTATGGAACATGGATATCATTACTGATAAGCCAGTGCATCATAATCGCCCAGACATGGTTTTCAAAGACATAGCAGCAAAAAAAGTCACAATAATAGACTTTGCAGTTCCACTAGACTCCAATATGACACGGATGTATGACGAAAAAATATCTAAATACCAGGAACTGGCAACTGAAATCAAAAAGCTATGGAATCTAGCTAAGGTTGAGATTCTACCAATTATTATATCAGCTAACGGACATAGAAATATGCAAAGCCACCTAAAAAATCTTCAAATCCCGACCAGCACAATTTTGGCGATGCAAAGGGCTGTGGTACTCGGCACAACATCGCTAGTACGAAAGGTTATGTCTCCATAATGAGCACGCTTTGTATCGGGAGCGCCAAGAATTTCCTAATTCTACTTTTTCCTAATATTACGATTGCGTCCGAACGTCTTCGGAAAGTAAAAAACACTGTTGCCAGTATTCTCATATTTTCGTAAGTATATCAGACAGAGTGAATTATTATGGAATTATTGTTCGTT